TTTGCTTATATTCCGAAAAGAGTAAACAATGTACATAAAAATTTTGGGATTAATTAGATGAATATTTGAGTTTTTCTTGCATTTTTAGATAAATTTTTGAAGAAATAATGATATAAGAGAGAATCAGAGGACAATTGATTGGGTGAATAGGGTCATCTCACTGAGTTCAAATCTAATACATTTTGTGTGTGACTTACATTATTGATTAACACGTATTAATAAACTTAACCGTCTTTAACCTTGTTATAAATTTAACACATATCAATCAATGATACATACCACAGAGAGGTCACACATAAAATGAATGTAAAAGATTTGATCTCTATCACACCATGAACCATCGCATAAGAGCTTAATTCGTTCATATATGGTGGTTCAATCAATAAAATATAGTGCTATTAACAATCATAATTGGGATTTCATAATTTTTTTGGTTAAATATAATGAAATTTATAAAACAATTTTAACAAAACTCGAGTACATAATCTAGATAATAGACTTTTGTTTCAATTAAAAAAATATATTAACTTTTGTTCTAAGCAACATATTGTATTCACGTTTCAATTGTCAAAGACATTTCAATAATCCCCGACAAGGAATTAAAAATGCCAATTAGCAAATAGCTTCAAAGTTATGCATTGTGGCATTCTCAAGGCTTCACAAAACCAAGTGTGAAAGTAACAACAACAAACATGAGATCATCACACATCACCTAGCGGTCATCACGATGAAAGGGAATGGACGTAAAATTATCTACAACCATGCATGGTCATTTTTCAAGTTTATTGCTTCAAACTACTAAAACATTGTCACTAGCAAGTATGTTTGGCAGTTTCCTGCACGATCTGCTATTCTGATACAGAATGGCATGAAAATAATAGATTTCAGGTTACTCATTAACGTTTTGAGTCGTCATTCGGTCATCGTTTAAGAACCCAATAAGATATCGTTTGTCATATCTAAATATTAGACATGACATGTTCTTGCATGACATGTTAACCCAAAACGAAATGACACGACCCATTAACAAATTGGGTCCTTATTAGGTCATCTGTTAGAAACTCGTTAAGATAACGGGTTTGACATGACATCATCTGTTAAGATAATAAATACGACACAATCACGCCGCAAAACATGACAAACACGACTCGTTTGTCATAGCTACTAGCAAGCGGGCTAATTAAATTCTAGACATCACCTATTTAGCAGGCCAAAGAGCTAATGGGCTTGCAAAATATAGTAAAATCCTTGTGAGAGTTCCATAAAGTGCATTAAATTTCTTTCAATCACTACGCATAGTTTAAATCGTGTACGATCTACCACTCAGTACTACGATCTAGTAGTATTTTTTTTTACTTGAAAGTCAGAGGTTTTAGGTTTGAATCTCGTGGATGGCGAATTCGATACCGAATTAGGTTGCTCATTGTGTGGCTTGACCGAACTCTCCATTCCCTTAATATAAAAATATCAATGTACTTAAAAATCTTGTACGATCTAAAACATGCACATCAAATAAGATATGATTTATCTGAGAAACGTCCATCGGCGGATGTGGAAGAATGAGCACGTGAGATTGTCATATGAAATTTTTTCTTCGCAAACGAGCTATTGGCTTGGACTCGACCAAGTCAATTTTAAGGCCCAAAAATAATTAACGGTGACGAATAATCAGAGGAAAAAAAAAAAAAAACTTTCGTGTCACGGTCTCATATTTGGACAGGACCATCACTTTTAGTCATCTTGTCGACGGTTTCATTTCAACATCTCAACATAGAAAATATCTTTATTTTTTTAGTATTGGAAATAATTTCAAGTGTATCCATAGTGTCATATTCTAACCCACTTGCCTTGATCCGACAAGAAAATTAACAATAGCATTGTCGTAGGTTAAAAGGAACAAAAACGTTATATGTGTCATTAGCCAAACGCATTAAAAATCTTATTTTATATGTTTAAAAAAATGGTACGTGTCATTTGAAGAAGGAAAAAGATTCAAAGCAAAGGTTGCCAGTATTCTCCGTTTATTTATATTAAGAGCGAAGGAAATGGGGTAAGTCACATAATAAATATCCATGAGAATTTAACTTAATCTAAGACTTTCATTTACAAGTGAGAAGAAAGTCGCACTTTACGAAAATCGAATCTATAAACTCCGACTTACAAGTGAGAAGAGTGCTGGTAAACAGTATTTTTAAATGATTTTTTTTTTGTCAAATAGTTTTAAAAAACAATTAGATGGTACAATAAAACCTCTCTAATGTTATACAGTTGGGACCAAACCAATTTTATAACTGTAATGAAAGTTATTACTTAATATAGATGTAGTTAAAAAAATATAATTTATAGACTTATTTATCCTTAATGGATGTAACCTTTCCTAGATAGAATGCCTTGGGTGCCAAGTATTTTATTTCTTGTATATTTTTTGTACACATTGACAATAATAACTATGCAGATGCATGTTTTCATATAAGATGGGACTAAGAAAGCACCAAACAAATTAGCAAATGACAATTTTAAAGAAGAAAATTTGCTGACTCCTTTGAAGATACTTTGAAGATAGATATATATAGGACGATGTTATCTACACTCTTCGTTTACCCTCCACACATTTTTTATTAATTTATGTTCTTTAGTACTCTTTAATTAATTCAATTCAACAACAAAAAATTAAGAGAAGTATCTAAAATAAAAAAAAATTAAAAAAAATTAAAAAAAAAGGTGTAAATAACATCACCATTTATATCCGATGGCCGAAATTTTAAGGTGTCCAGCTTCAAGTACCAGGGCATTTAACATAGGAATGTTAGCTAAGCAAGCAGATAGAGATAAAATGGAGTATGTACTTTATGAAAAAATTTTAGTTGTGACAGAAATACAGATGGTAAATCATGTGTTTTTATGTAAATGGTGAAAATTTTTATTTTTTAAGCTATTAACTTTTTAACACATATATGTCACAATTTATATAACTACATGTGATGATGTATCACTCCATATAATAGTTACACTGAAAAATATCTCGGTACTTTATATAGCAGAACGGGTTAGCAGTGCTTGTCGACGAGGCTGGCCCCCCATGAGAGCCTCATTTTTTTTGCCACTCAACCGACCAATACGGCAATGCCTGAGTTTTTGGTCATCATCAGTTTTTGTTGTCATTATGTTTTGCCCCAAAATAACAGTTTGGGCCGAGTGTAGGGTCATTCTCGGCCCGGAAGGCCTTGCGACAAGAATACCATGGATCGTTCAGTACGTGGCCTCCAAACCTAGGGCGGCTAGGTCATAACGCAAGAGGTCGAATCCTAGTGCAATAAGGAGTCTCGGCAGGACCCGGAAGCAAATCCGGCTCAGGTAAAGGACTAGGTTCACAGTCCTAGTGAAGGTAGGACTGGTCGAGTTGATGCTGATCAGGGGAAGAAAACCTAGTCCGAGTAGGTTTTTAACTCGACCTTGGGGGGAGCCATTGCTATAAATAGAAGAGGTTGCACATCATTCAAAGCCCTCTGCAAATCAATACAAAATTGCCCTGCGCAAACTCTCACAACTTGTGATTTTTCTTTTTCCTTTTTCGCTGACACATCTTCCGTTGGCATCAACAGCACTGTGGAAGCAACTGGTGATATCTTAAGTCGGCATAGATAGCTCTGTCACCGTAGAATCGATCGGTCTTGCAGTATCTTCCGTTGGCATCAACAGTACTGCGGCGAGAACGGTTGATTACCTATCCAAGTCTCGGTCGAGAAGGGTTTCTGAACCCTTATTGGTCGAGGTCATCTCATCAGCCTTCTCGGCAAAGTGAGGTGTTACAGTTATTACATTCATCACATTGAAAGCCGAATTTGATATTGAACTTCGTAAGAATAGTAACCTTGTCTTCAGGTTCGAGAGCCCAAGAGGCCGAGACGTGTTCCTTTCTCGCCGCAATCGCAAGACGCAGAAGTCAGCCGCGCACCCAACGCAACATCAACAAATTTACTCCTCGGCCGACGAGTTGGCACGCCCCGCATTCACCGAAGGACGTAGTTAGCTTATTAATTACTCGGCCTGCGCGCCACGTAGGCTTTGTAGTTTCTAGGGTCAACACATTCATGCGACGCAAATGACAGTGAATCGTTTAAAGGTTCACACATATGATATTTATTAATTACGAGTTTACATGTTAGTTTTTTCAGTTAAAAAAGTCTCTAAATAACCTCTAATTTTAGACTTTGACAATAAAAATCGATAGAAATGGTCATTGAGTTTATTTATAATAAATTATTTTGATCATTATGTGAAAAATTTGTTAATATCCTTATTGTATGATCACTTGAAGGACTATGTGACCATCTTTTTAAGGCTAGTTTTTTCAAAAAAACTATTTCATTTAACGAGGATATTGACAATTTTAACAGGATAACCAAAATGATTTACGATGGATGAAGTCGAGTACCACTCCTATCGATTTTCATTGTCAAAGACAAAGTGAAAAATTATGTCAATCTCATGAATTATCTTATTTAAAAAAACCTACAAATTTTGCTACCATTAATTGTTTGTGTTTGAATGACTGTAAATCATTTATTCATTAGAGAATCGACTTGGATTAGCATCTAGACAACTAATTTAAAAACAAAAAAAAATCAACAGTTTTATTTGGATAGCCATGAATTTTTATTTTGGTATTAAATAACCAGGAGGATCCTCTCCAGATCTTTTTTATGAGGATTTTGAAGATTCTCAAATTGTGTTCGTTCGTTCATCATATATGGTGCATCTAGTTTTTGTCAGATATTATTTATATTTAATTTAAAATAATTTCTAACCGTACGATATATGATGAACGGACACGATTTAATGATTCCTAAGATTCTCACAAAGAGAATCTGAAAAAGATATCCTCATTCCAAAATAACTAGTGTAACAAGTGGCATGATGGATAAGCCACCGATGACTCAGCAGGTGGTGGGCCACCGTCGCTAAAGGCCAAAAATGCCATGACGGAAGCGATTCTCTCTCCTCCTTCTCACTCTTCACCTTTTTCCAGTTCAAGCTCTCTCTCTCCTCCCTCTTTCTCTCTCTAAAATCTGCATCTCACTCTTTCCGAGCATATTCCTCTGCTCTAATCTATAAATCCACACCTGATTTATTTCACTTCTCTGAAGCAGCAAGCTTTTCCCGAGCTCTTCCAATGGCTATCGACGAGGACGTGGAGAGCTGCGGCAGCCGAGCGGTGCTGTCGTCGCAGGCGCAGCCTCGCCACCACCGGCAGAAGCTGGAGGTCTACAACGAGGTGCTCCGACGAATTCAAGAGTCCAATTTTGAGGAGGCGAATCTTCCTGGATTTGATGATCAGCTATGGCTTCATTTCAATCGGTTGCCTGCTCGGTACCTCTTCTTTTAACCCTAGAATAATGTAATTTCGATTTGTATGTTCGGTAATTAGCTTTTTGGCTTTTGGCATTGCTTGTTTGGTTGCCGGGAAAGTTTGGGAAAGTTGAAGAAAAGAAAAAGTTGGAATCTTTACTGATAACTTTTATCGCAATTCAGATGATTACTTGTTTCATATTTATAAATTTTTCAGTTTTCGAATTCATATTGCTGGAAATAGTGATAGTATGGAGAAAAAGATACCAAATTGGCGCAGTTTATTAATGTTTGTATAATTGTGTCATTGTTGTTGTTGCTGCTATGTAGTTACGCGTTGGATGTGAATGTGGAGAGGGCAGAAGATGTTCTAGCACATAAGAGATTGCTGCAATTTGCAGAAGACCCTGCTAATCAACCTGCCTTTGAAGTTCGCTCTGTGCAGGTGAACACCTATGCATTTGTTGGAATAGTTCGGATATTAGCTCGATGTAACTCTGTTGGTGCTTAATGCTATCCGTCTTTGTGTGTGGGTGCATGCCTGCACTTATCCCTGCATCATGCGCGTATGTATAATGGTTTGACTGTGGTTCGCATTCTTTTCTAGTGGGAACCGTTCGTCCAACTTGTGTTGCCTGAATAGTGAGTAGAGTTTTCTAGTCTTTAGTTGAAGACTTGGACTTATCTATTAAAATCAATGTAATTTATTTGGGCAATGATGCGTGACTACTGGCTAATCATGAAAACCGTTTTTCTGATGGAGGTTTATCCTGTCTTCAATGGAAATTCTGTTGACTCGGTCCATTCAGATTCTTTGATGAAAGAAGATGCACAAAGTTCTTACAGGTACTCTAACGGACGAGGGTATGTCACATTATATAGTGTATATCAGTTACTTGTATTCTCCATCCTTCTTTTGCATTCAATAACCTCACTCTGCATTTTGTATTTTAATCTTATATGTGCTAATCATTGAATTGTTCTGTCACCAGGATTCATGCACCTCCCACCTTTGGTTCATCTCCTACTCTTGACGCACTGGCACTTCAAGCCAATAGATACCATGTTGAAGATGGAGGTAGTGCTATGAGTGCAACACCAGTCTTTTCGGGGTAAGAACCCAATCTTAAGTAGTTACTCATCCACGGAGAAATGGCTTCTCCCCTTCATTTTATAGAGGTGTTTAGTTTGATAACTTATCTGCTACTTTGTTGTTCTTTCAAATTATCAAAATACATAGAAATAGAAAGAGAGATGCCCGATGGATTATCCATTTAACTAAATGATAAATCTGAGAAGTTTCCCATGCGCAGTGGAATATGTTCAATAGGACTTTTAGTTAACATTATGTTACAAATATTCTATGCCATAGATTTCTTGTACAGTTTAGATTGTTCCAGCTTCTCTCTCTCTCTATCTTCTTGTCGGCTTTTCGTAGTTTATAGTGTTTTGTACTTACTTGCGAAGTTGGGGGCTACATACTTTAGGCTTATGCTCAAGACGCTTCTATACTACAAAGTATAGTGTTTGTTATTGTTTACCACGGATACAGACAGACACAATGTTGGTAGTAATTTATTTGCATTGGTTGTTTGTAAATCTTGCTGTTAATTATTGTTGTTAATTGTGTAGGCCTATGCATGAGATCACGTTTTCAACAGTTGACAAGCCCAAACTTCTTAGTCAGGTAGTCCTCATCTGTATATCCACATGTATGCTGTTGACCTTTAATTTCTACCAATTTTTATTCAATGCGGTACACATCTGATTCTGTTCATGGGTTCATAGCTTTTGTGCTTTAACTGGAATTCATATATTTGTTTACTTTTATAGAAAAGGGTTTTTTATTTTCCTAGAATATTATGCTGTATTAGGAGAGCCTGACTCTAGAGTCTTGATTTCTGTATTTTCAACCCTGTAGCTAGTAAATGTTTGGAACTCTATAGCTCAGAGTTACTTATCTTTTTCCATGAGATATGCTTGGTGGAACAGTTCCTAGGTTATTAACATTAAATTGTGAGTTTTCAAGAATGTCTTATGATTAAACAGTTCTATGGAAAATTTTCTGTTGTATTTCTGTCATTTTTCCACTGGAGTCCTGGCCTACTCACTTAATTAATGATATCTATTAGTGATTAATTTTCCAGTTAACTTCATTACTTGCTGAGATTGGACTGAATATTCAAGAAGCTCATGCTTTCTCCACTGTTGATGGATTTTCTCTTGATGTTTTCGTGGTTGATGGGTGGAAATACGAGGTATGAGTTTTGTATGTTTCTTCTTGGATATTTGATTCACATGCTTCTCGTTCATTGAGCAAAATGTTCTTGCATGTAACAATAGGAAACCGAGGAGCTCAAAAGTGTTCTAGAAAAGGAAATTTCAAAATTTAAGGTAAGTTTTTTTCTCCCTTATTTGCTTAATTATATAGCTGTATCTTGTAGAACAAAATTTAAAATGTCTCGTTCTTTGAATAGACTCAGACTAGTGTGGTATGGGAATACTCGGGATGGTTTCTTAAAATCTGTTAATCTGGTGAATCTTTGTTTATCTCATGAAAACTGGATACCACCTACCATCATGCTGAATATTTGAGGTTCATTGTTCCCATCTAATCACATGATTTACTGTGATTTCGTATGTTAGGAGCAACCTTGGTCAAAACCACATCCAATCGCTGCTGTTGGTGAGGACAATCAAACAAGGGATGAGTCCTTCCCCAGTTGCATAGAAATACCAACTGATGGAACAGATGTCTGGGAGATTGATGCAAGGCAGCTGAAATTTGAGAACAAAGTTGGATCTGGGTCATTCGGTGATCTGTAAGTTACATTTTGAATCCTGTGTTGAATTTTATGCTGGTTCTCGTTTGACATGCTGCTTTCAACTTCTTTTAGGTACAGAGGCACTTATTGTACTCAGGAAGTTGCCATAAAAGTTCTCAAACCTGAGCGTGTCAATGCAGAGATGCTCAGGGATTTTTCACAGGAAGTTTATATATTGAGGTGCATCCATATACCTGCTTATACTTGTTGATGGCAGTTGTCATTTTCCATGCAGCTTTGTAAACTTCTTGATATCATGACATTTGGCAGGAAGATTCGGCACAAGAATGTTGTGCAATTTATAGGAGCATGTACACGACCTCCAAACCTATGCATTGTGACAGGTTTATCTTAGAGAATATATATATATATTAATGATTCTCATGTGCACAAGTATCTTATTTCTTGAGTAGTCATGATTTCTATGGATGGGTGCTGTACTTTCATCTTTGTTATACCATGTCTAATTGGTTACAACTGAAGAGAATAGTTATATATTGATTGTCAACACTTACGAATTTTAATTTAATGCGATTTGAATTCACTGATGACCACCTTTTGATGCTCATGTTCCTGCTTATCAGAATTTATGTCCAAAGGAAGTGTATACGATTTTCTGCATAAGCACAAGGGTGTGTTTAAGCTTCCATCTCTACTCAAAGTAGCAATTGATGTCTCCAAGGGAATGAACTATTTGCACCAAAATAATATAATCCACAGGGATCTTAAGACTGCCAATCTTCTTATGGATGAACATGAAGTAAGTATAATTCATGACTATTCAATCAATGATTCATTTGTCTGTCACACCTGTTTTCCCTTTGCATTTATATAGAAAAAAATTCATCCAAAATCCTGTGCGTCAATTAACTATTTTTTAGCACGTTTGTGGATTTTTAATGCTTAGAATCATATATCCTTACTGTACAGGTCGTTAAGGTTGCTGATTTTGGGGTTGCCAGAGTGCAGACTCAATCTGGAGTGATGACAGCTGAAACTGGTACATACCGCTGGATGGCTCCTGAGGTAGTAATCTCCTTGGACATCTACTTTTATTTTGTGGATAATATCAGAAAGAGGAACAACTTCCAAGTGATTTAAATCAGAATTTGTTTAAAGTGATAGAATTCATAGTTTAATTATTCACATGGTTCAACTCAATCCCACTAAACATTTGTCCCGAAGGGGAGTTAGAGCTATTGTGGGGCTTTTTAGGCCTGCTATCATCGGGTTCAACAATAACTATGTTGGTTGGTAGTTTGTGCTGACTTCATTTAACGTAACCTATCTCTTAGCTTCTTTTTACCATGGTCTTGTGAAGGTCATCGAACACAAACCATATGATCACAAGGCAGACGTTTTCAGTTTTGGAATAGTACTGTGGGAGCTTCTAACTGGACAAGTAAGTGCCTACTTCTCTTTGCAAGAACAAATGAGATTGTGTGCACTATGCTTGCTTCTGCATTTGCTATTCAGTGCGTCAGTTGATAACGGCATTAATTTCAAAACTCACGGTCTTCTTTATGGTTTATTTACCAGATCCCCTACTCATCCTTGACCCCGTTACAAGCGGCAGTAGGTGTGGTGCAAAAGGTACTTACTCCAAACAATTTGGCATAACTCTGCCACACGATATTCTTATGGATTAACATTTATTTGGCATGACTGTCAGAGCCTACGACCTACAATTCCCAAGACCACTCACCCAAGATTCGCCGAACTGCTTGAGAGATGCTGGCAACAGGACCCGACTCAAAGACCCCCCTTTTCCGATATTATAGAAATCCTGCAGAATTTGGCCAAAGAGGTACTTTCTTGCCCAACTGTAAAGCTTCTTGCCCGTTAAACATATTTAAATGATTCAATCCTAATCTTAACACAGGTTGGTAATGAGGGAGAAGATCGACGCAGACCTGGTGGTTTTTTCTCGGCACTTAGATGGGGCAATCACTGAGCACAGTTGAGAGAAATCTGATCTTGCATGTGGACCATTTCCATTGCACATACTTTTTGCATTGTACAGTTTTTCCGAGCACTCACAGTTGTTTTTATTGTAGTTTGTTTGTGTTTTCCTGGTGGTCTTCTCTTCAGAGACTCAGTTTTTCATCGTCTAATTTAGGCCGGCTGGTTAGCGGTAATTACTAATGAGCCCGTCATGGACCGGTAATGTTCACTACCCTATAGTTATGTATTAAATCTTTTGTTTGAACCACACCTTACTGTGTTGTCGTTGATTCCCAGCGAATGCATTCTCAGTGTGAATATTTATTTTCGACATTGAACTGCAAGAACTTTACAGGCCACTTATCTTCCCGGTTAGCCGGAAAAGTTGGTGAAACGATGTATACAGCAGAAGATTTTTTCCTGAGTTTAAACTTGAATTACAGTCATTACCACGAAATTCTTTGACTTCCAAAATCTTTGTTACAAATTCGTAAAATCATACATTACTAGACTTGTTCAGCAAACAACGGTTAACTTCGATGGATCTGTCATTGCTAGACACGCTGAGTAGCTGCCGTGCGCGAACCTTGACCTGCAACCGGACGATTGAGTCCATGCAATGCAGAGCTATACGTGCCTGTTTCCGCGCACACACTCCACGAACCAACGCCTGCAGCTTCACCAGGCTCCTCAGTGCTCGAAACGCTTGCCTGGCCTGTCAAATTGTTCAAATCATCACAAACCTAAGGGTTTTCAGTTTTTGTGCAAATTCAACAATTATTATGAAAGCAAAACTTGACGTTGAAAAAAGAACCAAGTTTGGGTAATGTACAAGGTGCCCCCGGAAAAAGGCTTGGAGCCTGATGGCTGCGATGTTTTCCTTGGTGAAAATTCTCTTTTCGAACGACGAAGATGATGAAGTGATGTCTTCGAGCTCTTCGTACCTGGACGATTCTTCGTGCGTGCTCGGGGTGGTGTTGGTGTAGACGACGATGATATCTCTGTTGGATGATCTGACTAACTTTCTTCGGATTGTTCTGAACCACTTGCGAGTAGTTCCCATGTTCTTGTACAGTTTGGTTGAAAGAAGAATGAGAGTTTTGTTGGGGCATTTCTCCATTTAAAAGCAGATTCAAAACGTGACGTAAAGGGAGGAGATGTGGCCACCATGTTTTCTCAGAGGGAGAGAGAGAGTTGTTTTCTGCTTGTCTGATACTGAGAACGTGGAGGGATGAATATTTCTCTTCCAACAGATCTGTGTGGGTTTGTTTGAAGCATTCTACGGTGAACTCTCAACCAACGAAACGAACCCAAAGTCTCAAATACATAAATTAAAAGGAGTTTTAACAAACACTTTCGGTACTATTCACTTTTAACGAAAAACCACATTTATACATTTTCATGATACTATTCACTATACCTTTAAAAATGGTTTTTCATTAAAAACGAAGTTTTTTTAGACTTTTCGTTAATTTTCCTTAAAATAAAAGGCTCAAAACTAAAAAGATAGAACAACGTGCACTTTTCATTTGGAAACGATGTCTTTTTTCGAGTTTTAGCACTTTCCACTAACAAAACGATACCACTTTTCGAGTTTTTGAGAATTGTTCGAGTTCTATGACATATTTATTTAGTTAAAACGAGAGAAATCATGAATTGATGAGGGAAAAAATGATGAAAATGGGATCAACAATGGGATCGTACCTTTGTATCCTTGATTTCTTATTTGTACATGTACACACTAAAAGTCAAGAATTGGAAAATTTTTACTACTTAAATATTTGTAAACGCTTTCAAAAATCAAGAATCATAATAATTTCAATTCAACAGAGTATCAATAGTGAGGGATTATTAACATGGGATGCCAAGTTTGCGGTTGTAAACTCCAAGCATAGAGCATACAAAATTGTAAAAGTGGAGCATTTCCTTTCCATAACATCTTTACAAAGCTAGTTAGCTAATTTATTTAGTAATTTTCTTTTGCTTGTGACATTTTATGTTGCCACATTTTCACCATAAATTCTTTGGAACCAAGTTTCCATGTTTCTGCAGGGCTCTACTGCCAATTTTTTTGTGATTTCTTCCCTTCCCATTACCTTGATTCCAAACCTCTCTCTCTCTCTCTCTCTCCAGAATCCCATTTCATATCTCTGTTGGAAGTCCACACTGTGTCCAAGCGGCATACCCACCAGCTATATCTGTAATGCCAGTGAAACCCTGCAAAATTAAGATTAAAGAACAAAGCTCCAGTCAGCTGTTATCAATTCTTTGATCGCAAGGATGGAAAGCCATTGAGATATTCAACAAGTTTGGACCCCTAAAAAAAAAAAAAAAAAAATATCCGAAAGGGCTCTTCACAACTAAGTCTCTCGTAACTCCATTTCATAGTAAAAAACACTTAAAACACTGATTTGAAAAAAAATAAAAATAAAAACCTAGACCGAACTATTCTTCCACCCGACTATTAGTTTATCCGACATTAAAAATTGATTGTTGAAGGCTTTTTTTCTTCTTCTAATTTTATTCTTGAGCTATTTCTCAGTAACATTAACAGTTGGATCGAGCTGCAATTACGCCGCATTATTATTACTGATAGGTAAGGGCATGTATCTTCTAATTTTATTCTTGAGCTACTATTGCACCAGCCTATTATTTGACCGGTACATTAACAACTGATAGGCAAGGGTTTACTTTAATTTTTTTATTTATAATTTGATTCTCGAGTGTTTCTCACTTACATTAACAGCTGTGAGAATACTACATCAATGAAGTATCCCAAAAAACAAAGCATTGCATCCTTTTTTAGCCAACAAAAAAAACGATTTTTGTCATAAATACGCGATTAAACGACACATTCTGGCTTCGGCTAAATTCTTTTCGGAATTGAATATGCAATACAAGTTCTAAAAACTATTTGATAACGACGTTCAACCCAAATGTGATCCATATTTTTCAGCTTCTTCAACCATAAGTAATTACTTAATGACAAAGTAAAAAGCTGATAAGGGTAATGTGCTTACAGAAGCTACAAGATCAGTTGCAGCCATCATCGATCTTTTCCCAAGCTGGCATCCCTAAAGGGCCAAAAGATCAAATTAAACACTTAACTGGGGTTAGAAATTTACTGAAAATAATTGGAAAAGAAAAAGGCAGCAAAAAATGTACTTAGTAATTTGAACTCACAACTATAATCTCATCATGTTTTCTGAAATGTGATGACACTTGTTCTAGAAATTCTTGGTTCTTTGTCATCCCTGCATACAAGAACAACAGGATTACATAAAAATGGTAATTAACTAAAATAATCCAAATTTAAAAAAAAAAAAAAAGTCAAGAAAAAGATGTGGATCGGAAGAACAAAAAATGAACCTGATCCAACTTTGTACAAGTAGGGAATGTTGACAGCCCCAGGGGCATGTCCTGCACTGAACTCCTCAGGAGTCCTACACAAAAACAAGAACAGTTAAACAAAAAGTAAACAAAGTGCTTAACTTAATAAAAGATAATTAGATTACCTGACATCCAAATATTTGTGTCCAGCTTGAAGAAGCTCATGTGCCACACGAACCGGCACCGAAGTTGGGACCCCCACAGCCTCCAAATTTCTCTTCTGAGCAGCTTTCACACTTTCCCAGTTGCCAAACAACAAGATCCCAAGTTGGTGAAAAACATAATAAATAACGATCTGAAAGTAATCTTGAGATTTTCACACTCCCGTTTTCTCCTCTTTCACTCAGTTGTTAGTTCATCCTTTTTTCTTAACTTTGGATGAAATAAATCAAAAAGAAAATCAAGGGACATAAAGGACAACGCAGACGGAGAAAACGAGAGCCTGAAAATCACTATACCTAACAATATTATCATACTTGCATAAACAGAATTTTCACTTTTTTTTAAACTTACCAGAAGTTGAAGTTCTTGTTTTGGAGTCCAGTGCCGAGTCTCTTCCCGTTTAGAGAAAGCGAAGATTTGTGGTTGGGATTTTGAGAAGAAAAAAGCGAAGGGGGTTGAATTGCAGCAGAGCCAGTAAGGCAAGAAGAATACACAAACGAAATCGCCACCATATTTCTAACTATTTACGTTTTCGATCGGTGTTTTGGTATCTGAGATTTTCAGATTGCAAATGCAGTGTTTCAGCAGAGAAATATGGAAAATGGTGGTGGTTAGTGTGGTGGAAAATGGTCTGAGGAAGTGTGTAATATAAATTTAATGGGTGTGCGTCAGCAGAAGAAGGCAGAGAGATGATGCCACGCCGAGTCTTGGTGTTCTGGTTTTTTTTCGGATAATAAACCCAAAAGACGAGGCACACATACTTTTGCATGGATAAGTTTCAACCGTTTCAACGTTTGTCTTAATCCTGATGAGTCAAAATTTATAAAAAATAAAATAAAAAATAAAAAAATAAACAGCCAACGTATGATGCATGTGAGTCTACTGCATGTATGTATACACCTTGGTGGATGAGACTGCTGACAAGATTTTTTTTCAGTGCTGGAGACTTTGATATTATCCAACCATTTACAATCTCATATTATTATAAAAACCTTACAATACACCGTTGTATTATATTAACTCATGCTTGAATGATTAGATTGTAACTGTCAAAATTCAGCAATGTAAATTTAGTCGTACACTACAACGGTACATCTCATACACTGATGCATTATAAAATTTTAAATTTATTGAAATATTTAAATTTTTATATAAACATCTAAGGTGAATATAAATATGTGATTAAGAGCAGGTTGATCCAACAGCTACAAACAGAGGTCCACTTTAAAAGTTATAATAACTTCAGTCGTTGGATCAATTTTCAATGACACGGATTATCTGATTTGGTGGATTAGAAGAAAGGGATCCTCTTTCCTAAATATGTGATTAAGAGCAGGTTGATAGACGAACGAGGTGTTCATAAATGCATTCTTGAATGCTAAGATAATGAACCCATTCACAGTGCAGCAATATACGTGTCATGATGCCATAATTCTTTACATACACATTTCAATATCGTAGCACACTCTTGTTTAATCATCTTCATTTAATTTATTCAGTATGATGATAAAAATAATCAAGTCACTTAAAAGATAGACAAACGTACCATTGCTTATATAGTTGTAAGGTAAAAACCCCCCCCCCCCCCCAAAGTGCGGTGGGGTAGGATAAACAACGACAATGATTACGTATTATCTCGAGAAATCTTTTTACGTGATGACAATACCATAATTTTTAACATGATATGTTACAAATATAAGACCTAAAACCAATGTGCATACGATGACCACTGTCCATGTAACATTATATAAGTTTTCACATTTTTCTAATAAGAAATATCCGTTATTGTAAAATTACACTAGATCATTTTACGTATTGATCAACCGGTAAATTGTGTAACGCTAACACAACAGAAATATAAACGGTAAAACTGAACACAACCGTATTGATCACCCGCCAAAAAAGACCGTTAAGAAATTTGGGTTGGACTTAAATACAAGGCCAAAACTGAAGGAGCTATTACTTGGGCCCATCCAGCCCAGATTAATCCCCGCGAATCTCCGTTGATTTTTCAGGTGGAATGTGAGAGCAGAAATGGCGACCTTGGCGTTCGCGGGCCTAACATCTCCGCCGTTGTCGACGTCGCGCCGGTCTCCGTTGACCCACGGAAGATTCCAAAGCCCCTTCCTCCATAAAACTCTGAAATGGGGTCAGAGATCTCTGCTTCTTCCCATAACATGCTCGTCCACCGAACCAAATCAAAACGCCGACGATTCCGAACCCAAAACGGCGTCGTTGGCCCCGTCGTCTTCGAGTGACTTGACCTACAAACTCTACGCAGGGCTCGGAGGCGTTGGGTTTCTCGAGACAACTTACTTGACTTACCTCAAGCTCACAAATTCCACTGCATTCTGCCCCACTGGCGGCGGCGGCGGAGGCGGAAGCTGCGGCGACATCCTCAGTAGCGATTACGCCGTCGTTTTTGGTACCCTCTTCAACTCCATACCGAACTCAATTCAAATTTTTTATTATCCCGAAACAAGAAATAGTGAAAATTAGGATTTGGATTTGGGTTTTTGTGTATTGGTAATTGAATTGAGTTGCATTGCATTGCGCGCAAGGTGTTTGACAAAAGTTCCCTTTTGGATTTCGCAGGTGTTCCTCTTCCGCTGTTCGGAATGGTTGCTTATGGGTTAGTTGCTACTCTGGGTGTGCAGCTACTGACTGCAAAGAAGTTGCCTTTTGGAATTAGTGAATCTAATGCTCGCTTAGTTTTGCTCGGGACTACAACTTCCATGGCAGCTGCTAGCGCTTGCTTTTTGTACATTCTTAGCACCAAATTTTCGGGAGCTTCTTGCTCGTATTGCTTGTTATCTGCTCTGCTCTCTTTCACCTTGTTTTTCACCGCCTTGAAGGTGAGCTTTTGGATATTGTTCTTTTTATTTTCTTTGATTTGATGTTGTTAATGGCAGTGATTTAGTATTTGGTTTTTCTGAATTGTAGGATTTTGGGTTGGAAAAATTACAGAAGGAAGTGGGTTTGCTGTTTTGTATAGCTAGCTTAGTGGTTGTGACTCTCAACAGGTCATATAGTGCTCTTCCACCTGTGCCCTCAAGGTGATAAACCTCGCTCGTGGCTTTATATTTTTCAGTTTTACGGATATGTTAGTTTGGCAAGCTATTTAATGATATGGACCTATATTCTGCTCTGAAGCTCAATCTTCTAGGATTATGAGCATGCCTTCCAACTAATTTGATAGAGGAAATCGAAATGTAAATATTTTAAGAATGGCAGTTTGATTCGTGGGAAATATTGGAGACTGAGAAACATAAGTGTTTTAGTTATTTTCAAATTTTTATGTAAAGGAGATGTAGGGAAATCCAATGTTCATAAACATTGTTTAGGTTTGAGTTTGATGCTCTAAGCATTCACGACCATATATTACGAGGGTCGCTGTGGCTTTACATCACTTTTATAACTTTTATTCTCAAGCAATTATCTGTGACCGGAGTTTAGTGGCCCTTGATATGAATTGATCGCTCTTTGATTGTGTGGTACTTGACTATTTGTGTGGAAGGAAATAAGATCAGTTTTCTGTGTGTACTGACCTCATCACCTTTATCTTAAAATCCCAAACCTGTCCCATGATTTTTTTGGATCTGATTCACCATGTCATTATTTAACAAATTTCAAAGTTCACAAATATAATATTTGGTAGCTTATGCTAGTTGGTTACTTTTTTGTCAGTTTTGCGTGCTTATTGCCCTGATATTGTTTCCTTGTTATATTTCTTTTGTTAACAGCCCATCTGAAATTGATCTTCCATATTTTTCAACTGAGATAACAACACCATCAAGCCCGTTTGCAATAGCTCTTGCAAAGCATCTGAGTGCTATTGGTGCTAAAATGTATGGGGCTTTCTGGTGTTCACATTGTGTCGAACAAAAGCAGGTACTTAGATCTTAGATTCCTAATTAAATTTGATTCACTCATGATGCTTTTCTCTCTATCATCTTTCCTAAGTTTTCCCTTCGGTTCTTCTAACGAATAATGTTATCCATTAAGTTGTACTCCCAACCAGTGTTTTCAATATTTTAGCTGTCCCACCTGAGTAATAGAAAACTATGGTCTATCAATAGAAATTGGCCCCCAAGTTCACCTAAAAATTATGCCTAGCGACTTAAGTTAACATTACATAAAATTCTATGGAAACTGGAAACTTTTATTTTGTTGGAAGAAACTAGAAACGTAGAAAGTAACCCATGCCTACGAATACAAGCCAATGTTTCATATTCACGTATGATAGGCTTAATTGCAAAATATGTTATATAATGATATACATACATCCTAAATTTAATACAAAATATCTTATTTTACGTATTAAATATCTTCTCGAAATATCCGTCAATATATGAGCTGTCGATATTTCCGTAAAGATCGATTTTAAAACCTTCCTCCCAGCCAATCATTTCAGACTTCATGAAAAACATTTTGAAAGAACATAGCGTTCGTCTGTTGTATGTTCAGACTTCTGATGTATCCTGTTTGTTTTGTGCATCATGTAGATGTTTGGAAGTGAGGCAGCAAAACTGGTGAACTATGTTGAGTGCTTCCCTGGTGGATTTAGGAAGGGAACTATAATGCAAAAAGAATGCTTTGATGTCGGAATTGAAGGTTTTCCTACGTGGGTGATTAATGGGCAGGTGATAAATCTCCTCATGGATGATTCACTATCTTCATTTGGTCACCTTGTTTGTATATTGTCATGCACACCGTGTTTTAATATCAATACGAAACTCTAGCTGCAAGTTCGTCCCATCTATTACGATTAACTTGGTTCTGATAAAGCTCGGTGCTTCTTACAGGTATTGAGTGGAGAAAAAGAGTTGATGGAGCTTGCACAGGAATCTGGGTTTGATTTAAAGGAATTTAATCAGACTCCCTAGATTAAGCCACGGCGTTTGGTATGTCATCACTCGTAAAGATCATAGAAAACTTGTACGATTTACATACCCGATCATATATCACGAAAACTAGGCACCTCGAGGTGTTATATCTTGTACATTGTTGCCTGTATTGATTATGATTCAGTGGACCAAAGAAGCTAGTTAGAGTTGTACATCGGAAACTTTTTCCTAAATTGCAAGATTCAAGACTCTTTTCTAATATATTTGTCCACAAAATCTTCTGTCTCCTTCTGTTCTATTTGCTACCGAAACGCCCTTGGCCGGAAGAACATGAAAATCTGGTGTCTCACCGAGTATATACACCAGGTGACAGGGCGGAATCACGGTGACAGGTTAGGAGTAGATGAGGCATGACATCCTTGGGGCGTCTAATTTTACGTGGGCTTTTCTTTTGGGTCAAGTTATGATTGTGGGCTTTGGTAATGAAAACGAGCCAAGAAATTAAAGCCCATTTTAAGATGAACAATGAAATCACAACCAAACATCACTACCGGTTAAAAGCTAAACCTAATCGGACAAAAAGATTAGGTATGGACTTTCCCAATAATTTGAGCTAACTTTAACTTCTATCAATCAACGAGCGAATAGGATGAGATCATGCTTGGCTTGCTTTGGAAGTTACGTAACCCATACTTCCTAATGTCGTGTTATCAACGCTATTCGTTTAAAAAAATTACTTATAGAATGTCACGATCAGTTATGCATACACGTGAGCTGATCTTAACTGTTCATATACATTAAGCTCCACATACATCAACGACCATGATCAGCCTAGCACTTGTCTTATTGACCCTAGCACTCACTACCCAAATTGCCAAATAGCTTCATGACTACTAATGCATAATAGGTCTCACGTGTATCAACGATCAAAACAATCCTACGCACACACCTTATAAGTTTTAGCCCCAAGTCAACTGGTTATGAACCTTACATGCATTAACGGGAAATACCAACCTCGACGCATGACAAATCACAACCCAAATTAGCATTATTTCTTTAATTAGCTAGTAGATTAAGGCTTGACCACATGCCCATTGCCATAAACACTTCTTACTAGTTCAACCCTTCATGAGACTTTATCTCCTCTCCTCTCGCGTTTTTTTATCTTTGTCCACTTTCTAATTCGAATGAGGATCCTCTGTGAGGATTCTCAGAATCTTCCAATCACATCCGTTCATTGTATATCATGTGGTCAGAAATCATTGTAATTTTTTTATTTAAAATTAAATATAAATAGAATCTGATAAAAACTGACTGCATGATGTATAATTAAGAGACGTAATTAGAAGATCCGGAGAGGATCCTCAATGTTATAATTCAATCAACAAAATGCCAAGTCAGCAGTCAGCCAACCAAATCGTTATCCGACTCGGACACCCCGGGCCCCACCTGGTCCCTCCAATAACCGAAGATGCTTCCGAATATTCCAATCGCCCCCTGATTTCCTGAGGCAGTTACCAATTAATTACCCTTGTCGTCGCCTACATAATATCTCTCATCAAACGCCATCGACCCCCCCCCCTCCCTTCCCATTTCAAAATTCTTTCACAATTCACCGCACTTTCTCGGCAACCAAACAGGCAACAAGAAAATAATAGAAAAAGAAAGAAGAAGAAAAATGCATACTCAAATCTCCGATTCCGAGCAGCAGGAACTCATCGAAAAGCTCGACATCTTCAAGATCAAAGGACGAGATAAACGCGGCCGCACCGTCCTTCGCATCATCGGCAAATTCTTTCCAGGTATTTTAGGCCTCGGTTAACGTGGCTTTTGTGAAAAGCACTTCTGTTTCAAAGTACTTGTGCTAGAAATGCTTTTGTTAAAGGTTCTTTGACTTTTTTTTTTATCAAAAGTTCAAGGCATCTTGGAAGTGCTTTTCTAAAAAGCGCTTTTATGACGTGTAAAGTTTTTCTGCCAATTTTAAAGCGCTTTTAGCAGTTCAAAAGATTATTCCCTAACGGATCGTTAATTATTCTTCGTAATCAACATTTCTCCTTTATTTAATTTAATTTTCTGATTTCTTTTTGTATTTTTGAATTATTTAGCTCGAATTGTGAGCGTGGATGCTCTGCGGAAGTATTTGGAGGAGAGGATATTTCCAGAGATCGAGAAAAAGCCGTTCGCCGTGCTGTACGTGCACACTGGAGCCCAAAGGTGCGAGAACTTCCCCGGGATCTCAGCCGTCCGATCAATCTACGACGCCGTACCAATCGGCGTCCGCCAGAATCTCGAAGCCGTGTATATCCTCCACCCCGGCCTCCAGGCCCGGCTCTTCCTCGCCACCTTCGGCCGCTTCTTTTTCACCGGCGGGTAATTAATTTAATCAATTAATTTACTCGAACGTCAGAAGCGCATGTTAGCATTTTCTTGTGAATTGTACTAACGTGCGCGTGTGGTGCGGCGCAGGGTGTATGGGAAGCTGAGGTACGTGAGCAGGTTGGATTATCTGTGGGAACATGTGAGGAGGAACGAGATTGAGTTGCCTGATTTCGTGTACGATCATGATGAGGACTTGGAGCACCGTCCGATGATGGACTATGGATTGGAGAGCGATCATCCGAGGGTGTACGATGCACCCGCGGTGGATTCACCCGTGTCGACGTACTCCATGAGATGCATCTCCTAGCTTGTCCGTACTAATTAGGGTTAAAATTACATGGGATATTTTCGAATGGGCTTCCATTTAAGTAGACGGTAATTGAGAAGTAGTTTTTTTTTTCCTTCTCTCTTTTGTTACAATTTAGTAGTTGATTAGGATAAATGTGGTTGTACGTAGTATAAATTCAAAATTTCAATGTTTGGTATATATTACTTAGGCGGTGGAGTATTTATCTATGCACTTACAATTTCAACCTCCACATAGATCTGCCCAGTGTTTAAAATATCGATATCGTGAAAATATCGATGTGTAAATTTGTGAAAATATAGATTGATATATTGATATCGCTATATGTTGCCTTCGATGGAAACGTTGGAATTTGCTCAAAAACATGAAAAATTTAAAGAATGCCATATGGCAGGTTATCGATATTTAATTGATTTGTTGGAAATATTGACAAACTATGTTGATTTTAGCCGAAATTTAAGAGTTTCTTCGATATATGGTGACATCACCCTTTCCATATCTTTCTCTGGTTTTTCTAATCCAAGAAATTTCAAACACTAGTTCTGCCTCATTAATTAACATCAACAATCGAATTGAATAAATCAAACAAAAACAACGGATATAATTAAATATGAGTGTGTAACAGGTTAAAAATAGCGTGTTTATCACTTATTTTCCACTTAGTATTCCAATTAACGGTAGCATAAAACATATTTAAAGTTGCTTTTTTATATAAATAGATGATAAAGCCACTAGGAATAGCCTAGTGGTGAGGTGTGGGGTAGAATTGGGTCCCAGGTTCGAAACTTTAAAATATATATATGATATGTACATGATGCTACAGTAATACATGGACTAGGAGATACATGATGCATGTACCTTGTTTAATACGAAATATGAAGATAAGCTAAAATAATGTACTTTGACTATAATTATTTGAAAATAAAATAATCAATTATTTGCGAAGGTAACCTAAAGCAATGAACTTTGGCTATAATCTATATAATAGAAAGTGGGAGCCCCAATTTGAGGTCATGCATTAGGCAAAAACTTTGGGGTCACGCATTTGATAAAAATATTAGGACAAAATTGCTTCTCAAACAAAAAAAATCTAAAAGCAACCTAATATAATATATCAAATAATGTAAGGGTAATTTGGTAGTCATAAAATATAATATAAATATAAGTGGGAAGACAGATGAGTTTAAAAAAATAGAACGATGAGTGAAAGTTGATGGTGCCCACGTGAAGGGGAAAGAAAAATACAATAAAAAAATAAGAAAAATCATGAATATTGTGTTTAAAACATCTTAAGAGGTGCGTAGTGTCGGTGATAAATTAGTAAAGTTTTTTTATAAAAGAAAATTAGTATTTTACAATAGGTTAGCAATAATGTGATTCAATCAGTTGTTTATTAAATATTATTTTCTTTATAAAAACAAGTATTTCGCATTCGGATAATAATGTGATTAAATTAATTGTACACTAAGAGGAGGGAGTAAGCTTAACCTCACAATGGGCTAGCAATCAGTTGTTTATTAAATATTATTTTTCTAATTTTAATGTAAATTCAATAAAATGTAGATGGAAATTAAAAAATCGCTTTTATTAATATGGATTCAACAGCTTTGATTAGTTAAAAGACCGCTTTCATTAAATGTATTTATTATTCATTTCCATCTACATTAATAAATATATTTCAAACATGTAAATCACGCATAACACGTCGTGATTCAAAAAATGTCTTATGCATACGCATAAGCGTGTGCAAGGAAGCTAGTTCTTAGAAAAGAAATAATTATGTGTAGATACTAGATGGAGTGAACCACAGTATACGTTTCCTCTTACATATTCTTTGTATTGGATATGCGAGTACAATTCTTCATTTTTAAGCAGTCACTACAATCTTTAACTTTTTTTTTTTGGTAAAATTTAACTAATTTTTTTGGATAAATTACATAGTAGCCCCTCAAGTTTGAGATCTATTACAAACTTATACAACATCTTCAAAACATTTTATTTTCATACCTCACGTTCTATTTTATTTCAAAATAATACTTCCGTTACATTTTTCATCCATTGATCCATTAAGTGCTGACGTGACTTCCACATTTGTGCTACGTGGCTAGATATGGGTTGGGAGGATAATGGGATCTGGGTTTCAAGTATTCTGGTTTTTTTTTTTTTTTTAATTTAGAAGATTAAGGTTTTTTTTTAATTAAAAAAAAATTGTCGTGGCACATATTTGGCAGTTACGTCAGTACTTAACGAATCAATTGATGAAAAATGTAACGAGGGTATTATTTTGAAATAAAATATAACGTGAGATATGAAAGTGAAATGTTTTAAAGATGTTGTATTGGGTTATAATAGACCTCAAACCTGATGAGCAACTATGTAATTTACTCAATTTTTTTTAATGTTCATTTACTTATATTATAACATTTGTTCTGGTGTATTCGTTCGTGTTTCAAGCATATTGAAAAATGGAATTGGATCCTTCAAAACTGAGCCCACTAATCAATGAATCCGGACCATTGAAATTTGATACAACGGCTACACACATGGGATCCCTCTAAAAATTATAATAATTGTAGCCGTTAGATCAAATTTCAATGACTTGAATTCATTGATTAGTGAGTTCAATTTTGAATGATCCGGAGGGGATCCTTCGAAAGACCACTTTTAACTAAGGGGTAGTGATTTCGACTCCCTTTTTTGTTTGTGCTCTCTGTTAATCTTGACCGTTGATTTATCTTCTCATCTGCATTCAACTTGTAAACTTCGAACTTAACCAGATTGAAACGGCGTCCTTTTGTGTTGCTCGGATCTCTCTCAACCAAAAGCCACCACCAGGTCCACCACCTTCCCTTCAACGAAACGACCGCCACCTCCACAACCAAAATCACCTATTTTTTCACGGCCGTCACAGAAAACCCCATTGCCGCCTCCACCATGAACCCCACCGCCAAAATTAATTGCCTATTCATCATCTGGATCTTCTACTATCGTCATACATTTTGTTTCTTATTTAATTTATTGATTTTCATATAATAGATAATTAAGAAATAGATTACAATTCGTTTACAGTTAGTTCATGACATCACGACATCATGACAAAATGTGTGTCCAATAATAAGTGTCCTCCGATCCTAACTTATATATATAAATAATATTAGAGAATTTATATTAGCATTTCAAAAATCTCATTCTACACTCTTGTTTGAGCTCAAAATTACACTATCGGCCCGAGTAATCAAGGTCATTGAATGAACATAATTTTAGACCGTTGTATGATAAAGTGGTTGAAATAATTTTATATTATTATTAAGAAATAATATTGTGATTTTAATCATGATATTATCTCTTAGTAATATATTAAATTATTTGAACCTAATATTACTCTAAGTCCGGGATATGCACATAATGAAGCAAGCAGTATAGTTCAAATTAATTTGGGATGACCGGTAGCACACGTGTATATTGAAACAGTTTGGAGTGAAGATTAGCATATGGGATTTGATGGTCTCCAAAAGTACAATCATGGTCTTGGATAATAATGAGATATAGACTAGGCTTTTTTGCATGGTGATGGGTATTGTCAGATTGGGTGCAAAGTTATTAGAATTGATGATGGGAATGGACAAGGATTGTTTGCCTTCCCACTTTTGATGCCCTTCCGTGCCATCCTGTTTGTGTGGTCACGGTTAAGCCACGTCAACATTTTATATATTTTTTTTATAGAAATAATAAGACAAAATGAATAGTAATATAAAATGTTGATGTGACTTAACCGTGATCACACAAAACAGAAAGGCACGGGATGACACTGGAAGTGGGAGGGCAGATAATCCTTGTCTGGTAGGAATACAATGTGCATACCGCGTGAAAGGGTATTTCGAGATCTCAAAAGGATACATGTTGTTCCTCTTGTAAGTCTTACAGACTAGGAAGATTTTTGCCGAAATATATTTAAAATAATATCAGTTATTTTGATATTGATTTTGGGATATTCGAAAAAGGTCTCTATTGCATAATCATATGATTACAAGGTTCAACTTTAAGTTCTTATCTTTTTGCGTTGGTAATGAATGGGTTAATGGATATTTCAAGATAATGTCTTTTGGTGTATGCTTTTCGCAAATGATATAGTGTTGGTAGATGAAACTCAATAGTGCGTAAACGCAAAGCTTAACCTTTGACAAGAAATGTTGGAATCTAAATGTATTCGCCTTAGTAGGTCAAAGACGGAGTACATGAAGTACAAGTTCAGTGGGAACAAAGGTTCAAATGAGATCAGGATGAGGATTAGAGATTATGACATGAAGTACCAAAGAGCAAATGATTTCGCTATCTTGCAAAAGAACAGAGAATTAGATGAATATCTCAACCATAAAATACAAGCTAGATGGATGAAGTTGAAGAGTGCATCGTGTGTATTTTGCGACCATCGTATCCCACTAAAGCTTTAGGACGGCAATAAGGCCAATAATGCTTTATGACACAGAATGTTGGGAGGAGGTCAAGTATCAACACATGCAAATGAGTGTAGCGAAGTGGAGAATGTTTCGTTGGATTTATGGGCACGCAAGAAATAACAAGATTAAGAATGAGGACATCTAAGGTAAAGTAGGAATAACCGCAATTCAAGATAAGATGTGAGAAAATTAGTTAGGTGGTTTAGACATATGGACTAAAAACCTACATATGCTCCGGTAAGAAGATACGAATATGAAACAGAGACTCAGGGCAAAATGGCTAAAAGAATATCTAGGAAGACTTGGAAAGAGACTAAGAAAAGACATGAAATATTTAGAGCTAATAGAAGATTTGACACAAAACCGAGGGCAGTGGCGTTTTAGGATTCATACAGTCGACCCACTTAGTGAAATAAAGCTTTATTGTTGTTGTTAGTGCAACATAACATTGCGTTGCACGTGTAACAATCAAACCGAAAAGTTCTCAACTAGTTTTTTTTTTTTGGACAATTTTCTCAACTAGGTGCAGCAAATAAATAGTTGGAAACATGAGTGAACTAGGAAATTCATCATAGACCATCAAAAACTCTTTAATCGATGCTAGAGATCTTCAGGATTCATCATCACAACAAGAAGTTAAATAATGAAGACTACTTCGGAAGGCAACTCAATCAATTATCTAATGATCGCTAAGACTTCTGCATACAGAGCACAATGAACATCAATCTAGAACTGAAAGCTCCAATCACACACTCTTGGTAGTCACGAAAAACAACACCAATCTCGCACGACTATTTTAAGCAGTTTATCTAAATTTACTGATCGCAATCACATCCGCTTATCGGAAAATACATATTTACAAGCGTTAAACGCGTGCAGAGAAACTAGTATATACTAACATTAATATAAAATGATAATTAGGTAGGGAGTGGCCAAAACATCTTGGAATAAAGTGGGGAAGATCCAAGCCCCTCAATGCTATGATCCTCCATGCTAAAAACAGACCCATCTGGCCTAACCAACTCTCTAAATGCAAGACCAATGTCATTAGAATTTGTGAAGTAAATGCAATTACCTTTACACCCCTCCAACTCTGCAGCCAAAACAGAGAAGCAGCAATCAACAGTCAAGAACAAAGCTTGCTCCCCCAAGCTCTTCACTTCAACCCATCTCCTCCCCAACCCCTCATCACCATCCTCCAACAACTTGTAAACCCTAAAGTCAACCACCTTCAGCTGACCTGCCTCGTAGAATCTGTGCCGGAGGCGACGATAGCGCTGAAAGAAATTGTAATAAACAGAATCAAAACCTCCTTCTCGAGAGTTTGAACCCTGGTGATCAAGGTACCTATCAACCACACAAAGCTCCCCGCAACACTCGACTAAATTCTTCCGGTGACCAAGCCCGATCGGAGGTGAAAACGGCACCAATTCCAACGACGATGAATCGATGCAAAAAATTTGACCCCATTTGTCCACAACATAAGGGCGACCCTTGTACACAATCATGTCATCGTAGTCAGAAACTTGATCGTTGATGAGTGTGAGCTTTTGATCACCAATTTTTGCAAAACCCAATTTTCCTTTGTTGTAAATCATGAAAATTGAGCAATAATCTTTGAAATTGGGGGATATAATCACCTTGTTTATACCAAAAATGGATCCGGATCCATTTGTGTCTCTGAGCACACATGATCTGGTCAACGCCACCATGTTTAAGTCCAGCAAATTCAAATCCATGGGGTTTACCACAACACCGTCGTTTAAGTACCCGATCCGCGAGCTGGTGATCGGATTCAGGAGACGGATTTTGCCAGAAGACTCTTCCAGCTTCAGCAGCCAACCCTTGAATGAAGAGGCTGAAGATGATGACGCGGAACGATTTGCATTTGGATCCGGGTCGGGGCGGAGGAGGTAGACGGTGGTTTGGGAGAGGAAGGCAGTGGGCCCTTGGGAGAGCGGAAAAGGGAATCTGGGGGGATTGGAACTTTGGAAGCGGGGAATGGAGGAGCGCCAGGAGCTGCAGACGCTGCGATATCGGAGGTGTTCGAGGTGGGTTTGGAGGCGGTCGGCGATGAGTGGGGGGAGCTGGTGTGGGAGGTTTGTCCAGTCGACTCGGCTGCCGTCCATGGAGGCCTTGTTCTTTGTGGTTGGACTGAAATAATTTGAGGACGACTTCTCTTCATCTTCCTCCATCTCTGTTTCTTTGAAATTGCAGGGCGGTTCAGATCAGTCGGATTTCGAGGTATTCCTCGGATTCAGATTCTCGTGCTGAAATTATATGACACTCTAAACGACTATATGTATTTGTTCGTTGTGTTTTTCTCTAATTTCTCTTATTTAATTGAAATTCATATGCTAACTAAAGTTCTAAGGACTGGAGCATTTTTGCTCATCACAGTAATCGGTAAACTAAGAGGTCGGTGCGATGGCAAGTGCTTTCGTCCATGAGCGGTAGGTCTCGGGTTCGAGACTTGGGAGCAGCCTCTCCATAAATAGAGGTAAGGCTAGCCGACATTCACCTCTCCCAGACCCTGCGTAAAGCGGAAGTCTTGTGCACTGGGTACGACATTTTTACAGTAATCGGTAAACTATAGTGTATGCTCATGGTATACTGTATGTGGCACGACTCTTTTGAGTCGTTCATCTAAATTTACTGATCGCAATCACATGCACTTACTAAAAAAGAACTATTTACAAGTGCTGATAGAAGCTAGAATATACTTTCATCAATTCAAATGATGACTCATCAATCTAAATCCACAGTCGCACGACTGTTTTCAACAGTTCATCTAAATTTAGTGATTCCAATCACATATGCTTATTAAAACATGTCTATTTCACAAGCGCTAACGCGTGTACAGAAGCTAGTATAAACTTACGTAAATTCAAATGATAATCAAATTGGGAGTGGCCAAAACATCTTGGAATAAAGAGGGGAAGATCCAAGCCTCTCAATGCTACGATCCTCCATGCTAAAAACTGACCCATCCGGCCTAATCAACTCTCTCAATGCAAGACCAATGTCATTAGAATCTGTGAAGTATATGCAATTGCCTTTACACCCCTCCAACTCTGCAGCCAAAACAGAGAAGCAACAATCGATGCTCAAGAAAAAAGCTTGCTCCCCCAAGCTCTTCAATTCAACCCATCTCCTCCCCAACTCCTCAGCACCATCCTCCAACAACTTATAAACCCTAAAGTCCACCACCTTCGGCTGACCCGCCTCGTAGAACCTCCGCCTGCGGAGAGGATGGCGGAGAAAGTGATTGTAACGAACAGAACCAACACCTCCTTCTTGAGAGTTTGTACCTTGGTGATCCAGGTACCTATCCACCACATAAAGCTCTCCGCAACACTCGATTAAATTCTTACGGTGACCAAACCCGATCGGAGGTGAAACCGGGGTCAATTCCAACGACGAACTGATGCAAAAAATTTGACCCCATTTGTCCACAACAAAAGGATGACCCTTGTACACAATCATGTCATCGTAGTCAGAAACTTGATCGTTGATGAGTGTGAGCTTTTGATCTCCAGTTTTTGCAAAACCCAATTTTCCTTCGTTGTAAATAAAGAAAATTGAGCAGTAATCTTTGAAAATGGGGGATTTAATCACCTTGTTTATGCCAAAAACGGATCCGGATCCATTTATATATCTGAGCACATATGATCTGGCCATCTCCACCATGTTGAAGTCCAGCAAATTCAAATCCATGGGGTTTACCGGAACACCATCGCTTACGGACCCGATCCGCCAGCTGGTGATCGGGTTCAGGAGACGAAGTTTGCCGGAAGACTCTTCCAGCTTCAGCAGCCAACCCTTGGACGAAGAGGTTGAAGATGATGACGCGGAAGGATTTGGATTTGAATTTGGGTCGGGGCGGAGGAGGTAGACGGTGGTTGGGCAGAGGACGGCAGTGGGCCCGAGGGAGAGCGGAGTAGGGAATCTAGGGACATTGGAACTTTGCAAGGGTGGAATGGAGGAGCGCCAGGAGTTGCAGACGCTGCGGAATCGGAGGTGTTCGAGGTGGGTTTGGAGGAGGTCGGCGATGAGTGGGGGGAGCTGGTGTGGGAGGTTTGTCCAGTCGACTCGGCTGCCGTCCATGGCGGCCTTGTGCTTTGTGGTTGGACAGAAACAATTTGAGGACGACTTCTCTTCACTAAATAGACCTCGGCAGCCGCCAGTTTCTTCTTGTCGTGGAGAATTGGAAATTAGGTTTTTGTTTTTCTCCTTGTCGTGTGTTTGTCGTTGTACGATTTTGTCAGATTGGGCCTTCTACCCTTTGTCCTCGTAAGTCGTTATACTTTGGTTTTTTTTAATAATATTATTCACACTAAAAGAGATGAAGTAGCTTTAATTTCATAATATACTAGTAATAATATGGTTTAAAGTCAGATTTGGAGAGAATTAAATTTAAAATCTCTTACTTATAAGCGAAAATAATTACTGTTAAACCGTAGTACTAAGTGTCAAACGTTATATGTTTTTAGATTAAATTTTATCTTTTAAGTGCATAATAAAATTTTTAAAGTGTCAATAATAGTTTCAATGCGTATCTAGTAGTTGTTTGGGAAGTTATTTCCTACTTCACTTTGTGCACTCAGCACTTTTTTTTTCTTGTTTTAGGATCAAATTTTAAATCATTTTAAAGAAAATTAAGGAAAATAACAAACAATGAGTGCGTAATGGGAAAATAAGAGCGAGAAAATTACAATTTTTCTCTTGGGTTGATGTGCCATGAGTAGTTTTGTTTTTTCCGTATTCCCTAATAAGGCAATTGTCTAAAAAAGGAGGAAGACGATGGAACACAAATGCAAAAACATTAAACTCATTTTGACTAACTGGCCTAACTTATATTCGTTTGTTAATAATTTGATTAGGCCTAATGGTTGTTGCTAGGAAAGTTATTGGTCCGTATAGTACGCATTGTCAACTATGTGCCAACAATGTCATATAGTACGTGTTGTCAACTATGTGCCAACCATGTATGTCAAAATTTTAACACTCCATGAAAAAAGGAAAATATTTAACAAAGGTATTTAGAGTCTTCACTTCAATCCACCTCCCCACTCTCCATCCAACTTATAAACCTTAAACTCTACTTCCTTATCCTGGCAAGGCATGTAGTGTCAAACGTTATATGTTTTTAGATTAAATTAGGCTACCCATTGTGTGGTTCAGCCGAACTCTCCCTCCTCTTAGTGTAAAAATATCGATGTACCAAAAAAAAATTCAAAAAGATAGGAGAAAATCAAGAATTCAAAGCTTCAAAATTACAAGATCCATATTTGGAATAAAACACACATCCACATGAATAAGATTATTTCCAGATTCATACCCATAGAGATATTATATTCACACACCCTAAATTACTTCTCTCATATCTTTTTAATTTTTTAATATTTTTTACACACCACTAACACTTGTTAGAAAAATACTAAACCAACCCGGTGTCTTTGCAAGCAAAAAAGAAGTAAAAAATTAAAAAGTGAAAAAAATAATTTCGAGTGTGAATATAATTTTTGGTACCCAAAACGTTCCGAGAGAGGTTGTGGTCCCGAGGGAGGTGGCAGTGGTGGGGAGGGAATGGTGAGCTGCTTTTTGTCGTCTTTGATTTTTTTTATCACTTTTTTTTTCTGTTTCTTTCTTTTATTTAAAATTTTGAGAGCAGAAGATTTGGTAATAGGTGGACCAGATGTCAAAATTTTAAGCAAGATACAACAAGACCACATGGTTGCAAAAGATTTGAGCAGTGGAAATTATACGGTTAAATTTTCCTTCAACAATCATCACATTTTTAAGCTTTTATTTGGTTTTTCTTTATTCAATTTATATTGGAGTAGTAAAAACTAATGTTCTAAAAATCGGTCTAGGGTATGGGCGTGATGGTGTCGATGTGATTAAGTCCGAATCGTTAAGAAAAATCAGGTAGCTATTAAGCGCTCTTAGGCGGCCTAGGTGGTCTAGACGGCTGTTTAGGAGGCGGTCTAGGTGGAGTAAAGGTTTTCTGGGAAGAAATTCCATTGCTTCGACTCCTTCTCTCTGAAATCCATCAAAGAAGAAGAACTTACAACGTAAAACAAAAGAAGAAGAAAAGAAAATAATAAAAATGAATAAAAGTTTTCGGTTTCAAGACGTCCAAAAGGAATCTCTTGACTGGTGTGAGGGATGGGAAGTTGGGAACCAAGGGTGGAGGAGGGTAATGGTCACACCACACACGTGGTGCTTTTGAAATTGGGGAGGATGCATGCACCTCTTCACACCACACACTTGGGATTTTTATTTTTATTTTTAAGAAAATTAGATATAATCACCAAAATATCTTAACTAATAATCTAATATGGCATGTATGTGTGTTTTTAAATTTTGAACTTTGGATACTAATTTTGCATTTTATCAATTTTTATTTATTACTGTATTTATGAATCTCATATAAATATAATTTTTTTGTAAGTGTCAATATGCACTTACTAACAAGATATACAAGAAATTTACCTAAATTTCCCTATGCCGCCTAAGCGCCCTTCTAGATTCTGCCTAAGCACTAGGCGCCAGCCCGCCGTCCGACTAACGCTTAACGTTTTTTGAAACCTTGGTAAAAACTAAACCTATTATCTCAAATGGGTATTATTTTTAACCACTTGAATTACAATTTCGCGCACTAAATCTAAGTATGAACTTCTTTTGTGACTTTTGTTACAGTTGACTAAAATACTAATTTGACCAGTCTTGATGAAAATTCAACTTAAAATTACTATCAAACCAATATAATTAAAACGCAAGCATGAAAGTCCAAGTGAGACACCTCACATTACAAAATGTGCGTGTATCAAATTTATATCCTGCACCTTTTTCCATGAAATGGTTGGGTCTTATGCAAGACATTTTTTTCATGAAACTCGGCAATTTGCTTGCTACTTAAGAAGGGACTTTCTAGCGAGACCGTGACACCGTTACATCAGATAACGTAATCAATTCTCAATAATAATCAAATTTCCCTTTTCCTAGTGGCACAAGCATATGAAAATTTATTATAACTAAAATTGACTCGAGCGCTAACGCATGTGGAAAAATTAGTGTATAATTACATAAACCAAATGATAATTAAGTTGGGAGTGGCCAAAAGAAATAAACTGGAAGATTTGGAATCTATATACTACAAGAACACTTGGCTGGCTAAAAGAAAACTATTTAACAAAAGCATACCTCACAGAAGCTATAATAGTAGGAATGGGTAACGGTTATGGCAGCGGGTAACCGCGGTTATTTATCCATAACCGTTTATGTTCATACCCGTATAACCGTTTACCCGTTGGGTAATTGCATAAACGGTTATACCCATACCCATTACCATTTATAAACCGTTAATCATACCCAAAACTATGTACCCATTTAACCATAACCGTTTACCCATTTAACCATAACCATTTACCACTTTATCATTTTTTTACCCATTTACCCATTTTTTCACCCGTCTACATGTTTTTTTTTTTTTTTTTTTTTGTAACAACTTGAAAATTACAAAAGAAAAATTTGTCATAATTTTTGTTTTCGGACAATTAAACGACCCCTATATTTCCAAATTCGATGAGTTTACTTTCACACACCAAATCGATCATCAAAATCATCAATCGAATTTTATAAAATCAAATGAGTTTTGTTCGCGAATGCCTGTAGTTTACAACCTATTTGCTGAGATCTCAACAGGAAGTCACAAAATAAAAGAAATCGTACGCGAAATTTAACCAACAATAAGACTCAAATTCAAGAACCAAAACCCAGAATCGAAAAAGTTCAGAAAAACCACGCTTCAATCTAACTGTTCCACCAATTTTTATGGTTTCTATCGTGTGTTAAGGACAAGAACAAGTTCAAATAAGTGTCCCCGTTACGGGTTGCGGTCGACAAAGATATGAAACAAGTGAGAATTCCATTTGAAATCTAAGAACCCCATTACATTGCCAGTTAGAACATTAAAAGATCCAAGTTCTACAGAGAAACAGCTTGCATAAGCTGTATATATACATCCATGATAACATCGATAGACCACACGCCTACAGTTCGGAAAAAACTAGATTCGATAATTTTACACTAGTTTAATATACAAATCACTCTTCGTGAGAGATCGGATATTCTGCCTTCTCCGAGAGATGCAGAAATGGGTCTTCATTCGCTGTCATCAATTTCCCTGTCAAAGCGTTGAGAAATAATCAACACCAAAGAAATCCTTGTTTCTCCAAGTGAAACACAATTAGTACACAATACTCAGGGAATTAGGAAAACTGTTGAACACGAAGCACACGCCAGATACTAAGTTCGTAACCACAGATATAACCTTGTGAAGGTGTCAATGATTCCTACAACAATAACCCCCAAAAACTTCTCCATAACTAAGATGAGGCTCAAATGCGCTTGACGCAGAATCTTTTAATTAAGATTTGAAGAAGTCTGATATGAATAACTATACTCTCAAATTGTAACTAGACGAATATATTCTACTCAAAACAGCTAAGCTTGTTTATCAATTAAGTGTTTTAAGATCCTGCATTATACTACACGCTCAAGACCCCAACCTCGAAATTCCATTTCCTTCCAATTGCTTATCAGCTATTAGATTCTGAAGACGGAATTCAGTTTTAAATAGTTTTACCGAATGGCAAAAACAGAAAATTTGTAAGCATGTAATCAGTAAACATTTCACATTTTGAGAAGAATAAAGCATATCACACTTACATTAACCGATCAGCAAGCCGATGGCGAGAGACATCATCAAGAGCAGGGCTGAGCCAACTGGATGGTGGCTGGAGCATCTTGTAATAGGTGGGCAAAGCAGCTAGGTTCCGAATGATGCCATTCTCCATCATGAACACGCGACTAATACACCTTTTTTTAGATCCTCCAATTCCTTGTAAATGAGGAAGCTTTTGATCGGTGAATAAAATGCAATTTCCCTTCACTTTACCCAAGTCTCCAGTCGAGACAGCGAAAGACCCATCATTGCTCAAAATAAACACTTGATCTCCCAAGTTTTTCACATCAACCCACTTACCCCATTCTTGATCCAACTTATAAACTTTAAAATCCACAGCTTCACCGTCAAAAGGAGCAGCGAGTGGATGAGGAGGAGCTACGAATGGATTAGGAGGAGCGGCGAAAGGATGATGAGGAGCATCAAATGGATGAGGAAGAGCTTGAAAATTAGCACCAAAAATGTTAACATTT